TGCTGACTTAAAGACAGCGAATACATTCTTGTCAGCATGTGCTTCGAAAGCGAGTCAGACAGCATAAAACCGAGCTAACCAAATGAAACAGGGTCCAGACTGACAACTTTGCCAGCCACAGTGAGAGCATCACAGGCAGACGGGAACACAAGGCTTGGCAAAAGGAAAAAAATCAGCAGCCAAGTTCTACTGAAAAACCAATGTGCAGATGACAGGGAAAAGAGCTGGATAGTTTAATAAGTAGCTACGATATACATTTTTAAAGTGCTTTAAGAATAGCTTCTAAATAAGGGGTAATATTCATCTGCTCTGCTGGTGGTCCTGCTCTGCAGCTGCCTTGTTCAGAAGCCCTGCCAGTCTACTCAAAACACACTGGGATGCTGTCACATACTTGATGTGACAAATCTGGACACACATGATAATAGGTGTGAGCCCAGTAAACAGCTAATGGTCTTGTGTAGAAGCCACCATTTTGTATTTATTGGGCACTCAAGCCCCAAGATAAGAACAAACCAGAAAATGGGCTTGTCACCCCAATGCCATCTCCTACCACCTGCTGGAGCATTTTCAAAGATGCTTTTACCAGCCCATCCTTCACTGACCATCCTGAAGGTGGGCAGTGGTTTTACTATTCTTTAAACATAGTTAATCATATCTCCGTTACCTCAGTGGTATACCATGAAAAGGCTTATAGAAGCCAAAAGCCATAGTCTGGCAGAAAGGCAGCCCAGGTCCTTAACCACCCACTCCCCAAATCCCTCGCTCTTCACTCCGTGTTTCTGCCCCTGCACCTCAGCTTTCCTGTCAGTATCTGCCAGTATAGCTGTCTGTAGGGCAACGATGAGGACCAGATATAATCGAATTGATTCAGGTTTAAAATAACTCCTCAAAATATATCTGGGATATTTGGGGGATTTTTTTACCACCTGCATTTTCTCTCAGTTCCAGTTTGCAGCATAGTCTAGGAAACAGTTCTGTCAGCTCAGCAGAACAGCATTTTGCTTAGGTTAGGTAGACTGAAAGAGTTAGCTCCTTTCTACCATCCCATTATAAAGGTACAGCCGTGTGCTGTTTATTCTGCATCCAGCTTCATATCGTTACTGCTTCCTGAGGTAGTGCAGATTTAAGATCACCACCTCTTAAAATTATTTTCCTTTCTTCTTTTGCTCCATTCTACACTTTTCCTCTCCAATATACTACAAAAACTGTACCTTTTTCCTGGACTGACCTTTTTGATACCTCTCCCACCACCACCACCCTTTTCTCCTCCAGTTGCACTCCCCCAGTATTTACATCAGGAAAAATTCCAGAACAGGTAAATGGCACAATTCTTTCTAATTGCCCAGACATTCTAATAAGGAGTCTTATGACATGGGATTTTGGGTATTGAGAGGTTTTTTGTTTTGGTTTAAATGCCAGTTTTTGAAATGCTCAAGCCATTTGGATAACACAGAATGACTCATCTGTATATGGCTACTTTGGTCTCATGCAATTTGCAGTGAGAAATGTCTTTTCAAGCAAGAAAAAGTGCAGGCAACATTAAAGAAAGATAAATAAAACCCTTAATCCAAAAGTTGATTTTCTTTGTTTAAGGAGATTTTACATTTTTTCTAGGAAGAAATAATTTCTCAGGTCTTACTAGTAACATGTTTTCTTTATGGCCAAAGCAACAGGAAGAAAAAGGCAACACCCAAATGATCCCCAGAAGATGCAAAGTTGAAAGCTTTCTTCAACTTTGTTGGAGTCTGTGCTTCAATTCTGCATAATGTAAAATTTAATCTGTTGGCTATATACCTTGAGTTTTTATTTTCATTATATTAAATGCAAAGCATGAGAAGTAAAAAAAACCCCATGCACAAAAACCCCAACTAGTCTTTAACATTGTTTGAATAAACACAAGAAACCAAACTAAAATTAAAGCTTTTAATAAGAAAGCTTAGCTCTGTTCTTACTAACCTGTTCTTAATAATCTGACTAATCATTTCAGAAGAACCATCACTTTAAAATCCAACTCTTACAGCATAATCATCTTTAAATTATTTCAAAATAAATCTAAAAAGTAGTTTCAAATCAACAGTACATCATCTAACTTGCCTTCGTGGTCAGGACTTGTCAAAACATTGGTCAGACATGCTACAATCAAACGCCAGATTTCTCAAATGCATTGGCCATTCTCAAATTACCCACCCATCTCGACAAAATAACATACTCTGAAAACAATTTCCAGCCTTCGGATGGAACAGACCAGAGACAGTCTTACTAACCTGAACATTCTCTAAACAATATTTTATGTGAAAGGGTAAAATTCAAAGACCAAAGGAAGTACATGAAGACCAAGAAACTGATTCAGAAAATACTGACTGAAAAGGTGGCAGTGCACTAGAATAATCATTTTCAGTATCTTTTTTTAGGTAAATCCTAATGTTTTTGTTGCCCTAAAAAGTTTTTATCGTACAGTATGAGGCTCTGGAGAAGACTGAAGCTTTTGCTTTAATTGGCTTTTAAGCTACCTTTGTTCCCCTTTGACACATCTGCCTTCATTTATTTGTGTTGAATTTACAGTGATTATCCTTACAAAAGGCTTGTATTGCAGTCCTTAACTTCCCATTGAGTGCCTGGGAACAGGAAACTTATGCTAGCCATAAAGGCCACGCAAAGCCGGAGTACAACAGACTACACAAAAAAGTACTCAAAAGAGAAGCACCTCTAGTAATACGTTCGGCTAATGAGAATGTTCATGGCATCCCAAGACCTGCAGGACAGTATGTTCTTGCAAAAATGTATGTAATTTGTGAATTATTTTTGTGAAGCTTAATTAAAAAAGAAGCCTTACTGAAGATAATTTATAACCGAAGCTCCTAGCTCACCACTGTAAATGAATGAACAGAAGCTTCCTTAGTATTGAGATAAAACGTGGCCAGCAGTGCTCAGCCTGAACATAAGTACAAGGAAAAGGTCGCCTAGTAATTTAGAAAATAACGAAATGCACTTCTGGCAGATTAAGCAAAAGATTCACATTTTTGTTCACAGTGGTCCCTCCCCATAAAACTCCCTCCAGCTAAAATCCAATCCCCACAATGATTTGTAGTCTACAAAGCACAGATTTGTTATTTCTATTATTACAGATTAAAAAAAAATCAAAACAAACAAACAGAAAAACCCCCATAAACATCAGGCATTGACAGTAGTTTGCTCTACAAGACAAATTTGAAGCGGGGTGAAAAAACCCCACACAAGCCAGGCGTACCAGTGTAGGAGCTCCACACCTAGGAAGAGAGGCCTTGTGTTCAAAGAGTTTGGGTGTGGAAGCTTGGATTTCACCTGTGTCACTTACATCTCTTTTTGGACCAATTTTACCTTGGTTCTGAAGTGGTAAAGAAGGAAAAACATAAGAAAAAGTTTTCCCCATAAAAAGTTCATCAGAAATGTCTGCAAAAAGTATTGCTTTTGAGCAAAAGTGTTCTGTAATAAAAAACCTCCTAGCTCCACGACTGTATCTTGGTCTTTGCAGGTTGCAATAAGGGGAAGCTGTGAGAAACACCAGCTTACACCGGGTGCCGTACGAATGTTCTTACCACAGTTTAATTCTATAGGATAGTCTAACACTGGAGTTAAGAACCAAACTCCTTGAAGACCTTCACAAAAATCTCATCCTATATCTTTCAGAATAAAGCTTGCTATTACAGATGCACTTTTGGGGGGGAAAACAAACAAACAAACTAAATTAGTTTACTGTTTGTTTCCACTCAGCTTTAGGTGCGGGTAACATACAGTATTTGGCTACTGACTTTCAACAGATATCTTACATATTGCAATATACATGAGTGGAAAAAAGTGTAAGGAATGATTCTTTCCTTTTCAATTTTGTCAGAAAACAGCATGATTACTAGGTCAACATGTCACAGCAGTTTGAGAACTATCAAAGACTATTTGACTTTTTTTTTTTGACTCTACTATTTCCCTTGTATGCTATAGATATATATTCCATACAAGCAGAAATCATCACTTCAAAGTGCACAAGTTTTTAATTTGAGTAAGAAAGCAAAATTTTAAAATCATAATGTTTGAGATAGACTGCAAATCCTTATTTTGCTTTATTGTTTTACTGGTTATGTCTCACTGAAGAATGTGACAACACAAATCCTTATGAAACATTTTGCTTTTGGTAAGTCAGTATTTTTGTTAAAGAAAGCCACTTCATTGAAAATAAAACTACATATACCCAGCATACTCATTTGTACAGCAACTGATGTAAATGAGTCTTGACTTTAGCTGGGGATTCTGGATACCACTAAAATACATGTGGTTTCGGGAGAGGGAAGTTAAGGCGTTTTGGTGGGCTTATTTGTTTGTTTACTTATTTTACCTGTTTGTATTTGGGCAAGAAGTTAAAAAATTGAAAATATTTATTCTGTTAAGGCAATAATATATTTGAGCCACGGCTCCTACTAGGGGGAGAAAAAGTACATGCCAAAAGCAGGCGCCCAGGTCTTATGCATCTCTGTTAAACTAGAACAATAAGAGCTCTATCTTTGCCTCAGGGAGCCTGTAGATGATATCAGCTGCCGCACTTGCACGCCCCACCAAACTAAGCTGAGTTTGCAAGATACAAGAGGATAAGAGCATGAATGAATTCTTTGCAAAAGACAGCTAGATATCCAGTGTTCACCAGTAAACAGAATGAGGAGGGAGCTGCTGGAAGCAAGGAAAAGTAATTGAAAAAAACCACATCCCCAGCGTCAACTAACAGCAATGGATAACAACAATTGTTTAAACAAAATGTTTAAAAAAAACACATACTAAACTGCTTCAAGTGTTCTTTCAGCATTAGACATCTGTGCTTATTTTGGGGAGTTGACTAAACTACTAAGAATTATTGTGTACTTGAAAACTCATTTAGCACCTGCTTAACAGTGATTGGTACTTACGAATAGCTTGCAGGGAAAGAAGACTCACCTTGTACAAAG